GGGGGGTGTGTTGGTTGTTAATATTAAAATATTTCCTGTGCTGCTTTTAACTTTTTCCCTATTTTCCAGTGGAACAAAGAGAGTTAAGAAGGATTTTTCTCTGAGTTTTTCTGCAAAGTGAAACAAAATGAACATTTTCTTTTTGAACCAACACAATTTTCTTTTTGCACTGAATTTTTCTTCCAGACTGCCAAAGCTTTGCAAAAACCAGTCATGTGAAAGACATGATTTTGTTTCCTTTGGCACCAAGGTAAAAAAAAAAAAAAAAAAAACCCAAACCTCATTTAGCTATTTTAACTAGCCCTACTGAAAAATCTCTCAGGATGGAGGAAGAGTTGGCTCCTGGGATTCCCAGATGTTGCAATCAAGGCAGAAAGAAGGGGTAGATTTTCTCCTTTTTACTATCACTGTTGTTTCTAAATTTTAAGCCATATACGCAAATTTTTATCAATTAGGGCTGACCTGTTGAAAGAGCCCACCCCACGAGCCAACACTGAGGTCCACCAGAGCCTTCCCCAGCAGGATACCTTTCCATTGGCGTCCTTGGGTTGGAGGTCGAAGGCCCGGATGATGTAGACCCTGACAAGACACTCCTGGGGTCCTCTGGCCGGCAGCTGGTGGAACTGCCGAGGTGGCACTGGGACGCGCGGGTCATCCGGGAGAGGGTAAATTTTGAACGAACCCTGTGAAGGACAGAGGTGTTCAGCTGCGCTTGCACACCCACACGTGCAGATGGGTCTCGTGTGAGCAGGCTTGCAACAACGGTCTGGACGGTTGTATGGAATCACAAAAATCATGGAATGGTTTGGGTTGGAAGGGACCTTTAAAGGCCATCTAGTCCAACCCCACCGCAATGAGCAGGGACATCTTCAACTAGAGCAGGTTGCTCAGAATCCCATCCAGCCTGGCCTTGAATGTTTCCAGGGATGGGGCATCTACAACTACTACAACGCTGGGGACAGAGCCCAGATCCTGACCCTCTTCTATCTGCTAGACCAGACGATGTCCTGTCAGGCTCTTCATGGAGCCAGGAGAAGGATGGCAAGCTGCCTGTATCGTTCATCCCTTGCCTGAACATCGATGCAAACTGTTAGAAGTCTGCACAGAGCCATTCCAGCCTGTTTGTCCTTTACCTCTTCTGCTTCACTGTCCTTTGAGTCCTCACGCTACTAAAGAGGTGCAAAGGAGCCTTGCTATGAATCAGCACCCCCAAAGGTTTAGGCTGAGACTTTCTCTGCAGGGATAGTTCTAAGGGTTCCTGAATGAGGCCACTGGTTCCTGAGAGAGGGACGGGAGGAGGAGAAAGAAAATGCAAAAATTCACAAGTGTTTTATTCACCAGAGCTGATTCCTTCCCAGTGACGTGGCAGGAATCAGTCTCTGGGTATTGTTTGGGGAAGGAGAGTGCTAACTAAGAGCAGAAATTTTGAAAAAAACACCTATAAAAATTTAATCCACTTTCTCTTGCAAACAGGCTAAAGGTTAAAAAGAGCAAAAGACACATCGCGCCTCTGCACTGGACAGGGAGAGCTCTGAATGCCGGCTTGGCAAGACCACCAGTGCCCACACACGCTCCCACCACTGCCCCAGAGGAAGATGATGCTGCAGCAGCCAGACCTGCACAGGCAGCTTGTTCAGACTGGGCCCAGTGTCCTACTTGTATGGCCCATTTCTACCTGAAGTCCTACCCAAAAACAGTCAGTTGGCATCATCCCACTCAGCAGCAAGACCTTCCACCCAACAGAATGTGTTCCCAGGTACAGGTAGAAAGACCATCACACCTTGAACTCCCCCACGACTGAGGGGTCATCATTCGAGTCCTGCAACCGGCCGCGATACAGCTTGAAGGTGTGGCAGAAGTCGGAGAGATGCTCAAAGTCCTCCACGTTCTCCAGCTCCCTCTCGTAGACCTGGGGAGGGAGAGACGGGGGGCGAGGGCAGGGACTGCTCCCGCACAGAGGGGGACCAGCAGCGTGTCCCCACCGATCTGGGACAGGACTTGACCCAAGCTCCTCGGCCTGGGGGACATTCCACCTGCCCGGACAGAGTCCTGGGACCTGTCTCCCTTGTTGCCCCCCACCACCAGGACAGAGACGAAGAACAGACCTTTGCAACCCTACAATAAACAACAGCACATGGCAGAAGACGCAGACTGAGCCAAGGTCTCGCAGAGGATTTTTCATCAGCCAAAGAGACCTTTCTGCTGGGAATGTTTTCCTTAAGACCAGCAAGGTCTTCTCCATTTTAGTCCTATCTGGGCTCCTGTGTTAATTTTGGTAATTCTTGTAACGAGGTACCTAAATCTCCCTCTTCCCTAAGCAATCTCTGGCATTCCTTGTTCCCAAACACTTCTCAAGGTGGCAGTTCCCCACCTCCTCTGCCACTTAGGAAAGTGACAATTTCTTGAAGGCTTCAAAGTGCAAAGTTACCAGAAAGGATTTCACAAAGAAAATTGAGTTTTTAAGTTATTTTTTAAAACAAAAGTACCTGCTCTCAGGTGAAAATGATTTTTTTTTTTTTGTCCCAGAAGGGAAAAAAAAAGCCTAAACAATCCAAAAAAACAAAGCTTGTGGAAACACATCATAGAGAGTGCAGGTCCAATGAGCCAGAACCAGCCAAGACCACTTACCTTCAAGGTGTCAAAGCCCTTCTCTAAATAGCAGCCACATTTTTCCCTCTCTCCCGTGGAAGCATAGAATTTGCTCCACCAGTCGATGAATTCTTCCTCCTGGTGGCAAGGGATACCAAAGTTACACATCTCCGCGAGCAAACCCCAACGATCAATGACAGCATCATCGCTTATAACTGCTGGAGGTGAACTTCTGCCCTGCGCACCAACCCCATGGCACAGCCTGGGTTTGGTGGGTCTCTGTCCTGCAGAGGCAATGAAGCTATCGTGAACCCAACCTGCAGCTCCTCACTCCCTGGTTTCAAGGTGGTTTGCGGATGCTTCCAGCCCAAATCCAGCTGTTGCAAACACAGCAACATCGTGGACCTAGACGTGTCAGCAGAGAGGATGATTCTCCATGGGAGGATGAGGTAGAGCTCACCAGATGAAATTTGCCACATTTTTAGGCTAGGGGCAGATTTTGGCCAGTTTGGGTGGTGGTCTTCCCAGGACCACAGAGGAGATGAGCTAACTCTTGTGCTAACACGGTCCTGACAGCCTGAAATTCAGGGAGGACGTGTGGACTGCTCTTAAAGTCAGCCCCTAGTTTAGGCTTTTCCCAGAAGGTTTTGAGGTTTCTGGGACCTTTCTCTTTCTGGTTTGTGTCCTGGCACCAGCCAGCCTCCCCATCCAAACAAATAGATGCATAGATGCTACTTCCACTTCAGAAAAATTGGTCCTCAGGTGCTGCAGCTCTCTCAGGAAGAACGTAACTCTCTTCTCGGGCAAATCTCAGACAACCTCAGCCGCACAACGTGACAGCCACAGTGCCATCAAGGAGCATTGGCCTCATCTGCTGTGCAAACTGGATTTCAGCTCTGAGGATGCTGTTCCAAGAAGAAAGCCGGCTACCGGCTTCGGCAAATGTATATATTTTATAAGAGCACGATTTCTGAAATTCATACAAGCAAAGATGAAGGGGCTTTGACTGTGATTCATGAAACATTCCTGAAAAATAATGATGTCTTATTTTAGAAGTCCACAAAATTCCATCACACTGACCTAATGGAGGAATCATAATAGAGGTTTATTGGATTTATATTTTAAGCCAACGGTGCAGGCTTTAAATTGCTGTCTTGAATAGACATTGTTTTTAATAGAAATATTACATAAATTAAGTCTGAGGCCTCTGCTGCCTCCCTTTTTTTTTTTAAAAAAAAAAAAAGCTTTTCATCACTTCCCCTGTTTTATTGTTTAAAGAGCTACACCCTGACCATCATGGCTTTATTACGACATTCCACAGGTACTGAGTTACAAAGAAAGCACTTAAACTAATCTGACGACTTACCCATGGTATCTTCTGCAGCCCCAAGACAAAGAATTTGGTTAGATATTTTTGCTGATTTCTACTGATGTTACAAAAAATAAAAAGGGGGAAGAGAAAAAAAAAAAAAGGTAAGGGGAGCAGCTGGAATGTTAATAGCCAAGGACATTAATCCATTTGCCTGCAAATGGGAAAGCCAGGGAAAGCAATGGCTCCACCGCGCAAGCGACTGAATTCAGGGATTTCATTTGGCACCCAGGCAACAGCCAAAATCACCTCCGGTGTTTGATCTCGGACGTGGTGCAGGATGGTCCTCACAGTCGGGATCTGTGCCCTGAGCCCTGGCGGGATCCTTTGCAGATGGCTGAGGGACCTCCAGCATCCCCGCATGCCCTCTCCAACTTTTGGGTGGACCCCGTGGAGTTGCAACGGGGCACGGACCCAGGGTGAGCATCGCTTGTGGATAAATTTCACATCAAGTGACTGATGGCTAAAATTTTGGCTTAGGGAGAAGCTTACTGAGATGCGGTGAGCCACTGCCATGGTTATCAGAAGATTTGCTGGCTCCCCATCCCCGTTCACTCCCTCTTCCCTCGTGCCCACCGCTCCCATAGAGCAGGGACCACCCTAACGTGGGCTGGCACCTGCATCCCCCATGCCCTGGGACCGTAGGCAGGATTGCAAACATTTTCCCATTCCGTGCTGATGTAAAGTCAAGACCTTTCAAGCTCCAGGGCGCCCAGCTTTGGCATTTTCTGCTAAAATGGGAAGGTCAACGTTTAACACAGGAGCAGCGGAAGAGGATCCAGGACCATTTCACCAGGCAAGAGCCTGAATGGGACCATTTAATCAGTTTTCCAGTGAGCATCCAGGAAAGGGGCAGCAGGAGAGCCCCTTCCAGAGTGGCATTCCAGAAGAGAGGAATGTCTTATGGCCAAAAGCACGGCAGTTCCAAAAATAAAGAAATTCAGATTATTTTAAAAATGCCTTTAAACCCAGAATTTCACCAGCGGGCTGCAACTTCCCACTTGAAACGTTTCTGGGATTATGGCTTGGACACAGCAAAAGCACTCAGACACATGCTTAACTTCAATCGAGTGCGCAAATCCCTCTGAAGCCAATGAGGCTCTTCAGATGCAGCCCTAGGGCCATTCCGGATCAGGCCTTGGGCTCAGCAGAGCCAGCACCCGCCGGGAACTTGCCACCTTCAGGTAACAGAGAAGGAGGTTTAAGCTGTGCTGATCTCCACGTAGGACTTGTACCCACGTTGCTGTTGAGAGTGTTCCTTCCCCTGGACCCCAAAATGCAGACCTGTGTCGTCCCAGCAGCTCTTGGGATGTTTTAAATCTTATTTTGTTTCACCCAGGGGAAAATGCACCAGTTTTAACCTCGCTTGTGTCAGGGAGGCTGAGCCAGAGCATTTTCTTCCCCACCACCCAGGGTTTCCTGCGACTCCAAGCCCGTCCCATCGGATCCGTGCCCAGATGGGGATAGCAGGAGCCTCGGCTTGTCCGGCACAACCCAGTTGTCCCATAATATGTTGAAATGGTCATTTGGGTCTGGAGCAGGTTGCCGTGCAGTGGACATACTGGCTTCTGGTGAAACTTAGTCCTTATCATCACCTTACAGGTGGGGGAAACTGAGGCACAGACAGGTTAACGTCCAGGCAGCAAAGCCAGGAGAGCAGAGCAGGCATGAGACAAATGAAGTCTTAATACTTATGCTTGCTCTCGCGCTTGTAGCGATTAAACACTCTTCCCTGTGGGACTATAGATAATTATAGCAATAATAAATACTGCCTCTAAAGAAGCTAAGCCACCGCCTCAGTCTCAAATGTACTCGCACCTCACATCTGGGAGGCAGATTTCCTGCTGTGGAGAAGCTCTGCAGCTGGGAATAGAAGATCCCTCTAGAAACAGCTTGGACATTTACGGATGCAGCTCCCCAGCTGTTTGTCACCACGCTTTTGCAGGAGAGGACACCCTGCATCTCAGCCTTGACAAGGGTGCTGTTAGCATCCTCATCTGCTCCAGCGCAAAGGCAGCCTGGTCAGCTCAGCTCATTGCCCGACTAAACTAACCCAGGCCAGCCCTGTCCTCCCACGGGCGCAGAAAACTCCAGCGGAGAGGCCATGGCAAACAGCTGGGGAACACAAAAATGTCTTTAAACACCGCAGCTGCGCTCCTTGGGATTTTCCAACCACATCCTAAATCCCTCTGCTGCTCTGTCTAGCATTGCTCCAGAGGTCAGCACGCCCAGGCAGGAAACGGAGCGGCTCGCTGCCGCGGGAGGCATCCTGGGGCAGTTCTGCGAGGAAACGACTGCAGCGAAGCCCACCAGCCACCCACCGCCCGAGCAAGGTGCCAGCCACCCGCACACCGGGGAGGCACGTCAGGTTCTGCTGCCCAAGGGGCTCTATCACCTACAAACACAGACCAGGAGCAGCTGCAGAAGTGCCTGGGAGGCAGGAAAAAAATCAGATTTTTCCTGCTGGGAGGCCATGCCCTGCCCAGGACAGTGGGGTGGAATGTCACAAACTGGGCTTGGGACCTCACGCCCGCCAGACCCTGGGAGCTGGGGGGAAGCCTCTTTCATGCTAACAACCTCCCCATGTCCTTGAACTCCAACCTCTTCCCAAGAGGGATCTGTCTTTGGGTTATCCTTGAATGAACCTGGTCCTTCCCCCTGGTTCCTCCAGCCTGTCCCAGGGACCTGCAGCAGCTCTGAGCAGCACCGTGCAGAAAGCAACGCTGGAGGGAGGAGGGGAAAAACCACATGTGTCCTGCAAGAGGACCTGGCTTGTCCTTCCCTTAACCCTCAAGGTGTGAACTGTCAGATGTTCGTAATGAGAAATTACCCATTTCTGGCTGTTTCACTTTTTTCTTTTTTTTCAACGTGCTGTTCATTTTGTTCAGAAGTGGACAAAACTGTTTGGGTTTTTTTTCCCATCCTGTTCAATCAGGCTTCATTTAGCCAAGTTCACCCGAAGGCAGCCACCCACGCACCGTGCTGCCACCACTTCTCCTCTGTCCCATGCCTTATATTTGGGGATGCTTTCCTCTGCAACCCCGGCTGGTGGAAAGCCAGCTTGCCATGCAGACTGGTCTGGGAGGGCTTTCACCCATCACCCGTGGCAGTGCCGTGGGCTGTCCCCCAAGCACGCATGAAAGACCGGGAGAAAAAAGACGGCAGGAACGCGCCAAGGGCAATGCTGGGCTGCAGAGTGGATTGGCGACCGTTTTCAGCTCCAACACCAAGAGCCCTTCCAACTAACAGTAACAGGATAAGCCGTAAAATGTGCGCTCTGATTTGGAACTAGCAAACACAGCAAATAACCAATTATTCCAAATAGTTTACAGATTTTGACTTTTCTTTTTTTTTTTTGGCTTGGGTTAGCTTTACTAACTTGTCATTTGATGGGTTATTTGTATTTCTTACAACCAAAGCATCGCAAGCCAAAATAATGGTACGGATAACTGTGTAGAAAGTACCTTATGGTGCTGCTCGGGAGAGAACGGAGGCTCCTCGTTGCAGTTTCATAGCTCAGAGGTGTCTGAGGGCTCCTTGCGAGCTCCTCTCCTTTAGGAGATGCTCATGAACCGCCTGACTCCTGCTACTGCTCCTGCAAGCCGAGGCTGGTGGGGAGGAGATCTTGCCAGACCATGTCACAGCTGGGAACGCAGGAGCCGCGTGGGCATTAACCATGCGGGAGGTCCTCTGCAAAGGGTGCTCCATGGCTCTCCTGCAAACCTGGGTCCCTCTGCTCCCACATCGGGGCTTTCACACTCACCCCACGTTTTCACTCAACAGGACTTGAAAGCTCATTTGTACTTCTCAGGAGAAGGACTCTGTCTGTCCCTTCGATCCTGAGCGGGTTGGAGGAGACATGGACAATCCCAAAGGGGATTTGTGGCCCTCAGAGCCCCTTGGTGACAAACAGGTGCTACGCAAAATGCAACGTATGCTCCCCAGATATACCGTCCTTATTCTTTGCTTGCACAAGCAGCTTCCTGGTCATTCCTAGCTGCATCTGTTGACATTTTAAAGTGAATCTTCAGAAACATTTCTGTATTTTCCTCTTGCCTTTAACAGTCAATACCACCCTTATTTATTATTAGTGCTGCTCCAGCACACAGGGACCCCGCTCGGGATTCGGCTCCCGTCGTGCTACGCTCTGTGGAAAAGCAGAAGGATGGAAAACTGCCCCAAACAGTTTCCATTTAAATATTGCTCTTACGGCAGATGATACCAAAAACAGACCAAAGGCACAGAGAGTTTTACAGTCCCTTGTTTGTAAAGAGATCCCGGTGTGACCGGCTCTGGTGGTGGCATCTATACTACTTCTACTTGAGCTTTAGTCTTGATTCAGCTGACTAAATATAGGCTTAGATCTTAGCGAGGGGTGTACTGCACCTTCTGCTGACGATGTCTATGGGCTCTCCTCCATCCTGCTGGTCCCCTGCGCTCTCCCAAATTAAGGGAAATTAGGTCACCCCTAAGGTCACCAGGATCTCCCCCTGAACGCTCTCAGGTCAGCTCTGGTGGGCATCGTGGCGGAGGCACGGAGGGAGGTGGCACCTCCGTCCTCGGGGAACTTCAGGGGACACTGGTCAACCCAGGTGGGGACAGGGTGCGGGACCTGAGACAGGAGCTGCTCTGGCCCGATTTCTTGGGATGGTTTGACAGTTGGAAAAGAGGATTTACAGAACAACAAAGAGGAGATCTTGTGGATAATCATAGAGGGGATTTTGTAGATAATTGCAGAGTGCTCCTCCCAGGCAGGGAGGGGGAAATGGCCCATGAAAGAGCTTATTTTGACATTTTGAGAAGTCATGAGTCCCTCTTTCACCCTTTGAACATGATTGAATCACTTGCACTCCAGAGGGATGAGCCAGGATTTCAGTGCTGAGGGAAGGGGACAGACCCGGAGCAGAGATGTGGATCTATGAGACATGGGTGTTGCAAAATCGTCTCATTTTGCTTATGCCAACGATTCTCAGGAGGGACAAGAGAGGGACGAAGGGTCAACTCTTGACTTTGTCTAAGAGGACTTTGGCAACAGCAGCATCAGAGGAGTGCAAAGAGAGGCCAGATGAGAAAGGGTTTATGAACTAGGTCATAAACAATTGCAAATTAAATGCTTGGATTTGTGCGGGCTCCGGGCAGAGCCTGAAGCATCAGCTCTGGCAGCCCTGACCTGACGTCCCCACCACTCTATCCCTTCTCCCCAGCCGTTATCCCCCGGGTCGGTGCAGGAAATTGCTGCCCCATGGAGCAGAGGTGATGCCATCGCCCTCCTCGGCGGCTCTCCAGGTCCCCCCGGCAACGCCTGCCCCATTTTCCAGAGCTGTTTGCGTGTCTGGGGGTTTTCAAGGTTTTCTCAGCACACACTGCTGGGGAGGCAGATAACACACACGCTCGAGATGAAAGGGGAAAAAAACCTCCTGTGCACTCCACCGAGGAGATGGGCAGACTGATCTGTGAGCTCAGGTCTCCACGAGAGGCAAGCCCACGATCTCCCATCGCGCTCCCCCCCTCCTCCGGGTCATTAACACCACGGTCGGAGGCAGAACCTGGCGAAGTTCAGGAGCTCCCTCACACACTATACACCGGGCGGGATTTTTTTGGCTGTAAAAGCTTTTTTCCTAATATTTAACCAGCTGCACCCCCTATGCCTCATTCCACAGCTCCTGCTTTCGTGCGAAGCTCCCCAGCTATAAAGGAGAACGAGCCGGGAAGGAAGACGTCTCGGTGACCTGCTTTCCAAAACAGGATGGTTTTCCCCAGGAGGCGTCAGCAGCTCTTTGCGACACGAGGTTTATTACATTTAACCACATTCTTGTAGGGTCCTGGGGAAGGCCAGGAGAATGGGTTTATTACTGCTTAATATTCCATTGCTTTTATTTTAAATTAATAGTTTGCAGCTTTTGCTTTTTCTTTTTTCTTTTTTTTTTTTTTTTTGCAAAATTTTATTTGAACTAAAACAAAAACATATTCATGTAAATCAAAGATGCTGATGAACAGAGGGAGGGGGGAGGCTATTTATGGAGCTTTTGTTTCCATACTCTGCATCCCAGCACAGCCACCCGTCTGTCTTCTCTGTGCCGCATCAGTGAACAACATTACGTGGGCACAGAGAATTAACAGGGTACTGAGGAGAAGCGCACAGGGCCAACAAAGCACATATCGATATGTTACAGAGAGACAGGCTGGACACTAAACATGCCTCCAACCCTATGCCAAACCTACAGAGATGCTCCTCAGGGGCTTCTGCACGCAACAGCTACAACTGCCATGAGAAGCTGCAACCCATCTCTTACTCCATGTGCTCTTCTTGCTCGATTTTTACTCTATTTTCAGCAAGCAAAAGCCCACTTTATCTTTCCTTCCATCCCACACGGTCAGACCTCAAAGGGAGACTATTTCTCCCAAAGACACGCTATAAATAACGCCTTCGAGCTGACCTTCTCCCAGAGGTCTGGGCTGGCTCACCAGTGTTTTACACCCCAGGGCTGAAGCCCACGGGCACCGCTCCAGGTTCTGCCCGTTTATTGCAGGGAAGAAGTGGAAAGCAACACAATTAATTCTGGCCTGAAAGACGCAAGAGGAACGTGCACGGCTCTTGGCCGGAACAGCCCGTGTCTTGTAACTCATGGGCTGGTATCAAGGGGGATCTAAAAGGGGTGAAGAGTCCCAGGGTCACAACCCTGCTAGGGGTGAATTTGGGGCATGGAGAAGACCTGCTCCTCTGGAGTGTCAGCCCTGAGAAAGCAAAGCAGCTTCGCTGCCCTTCTTACAAAAACCAGGAACACCTCAACATCTAAGGGTCGATTTAGATTAGATGTTAGGAAGCAATCCTTCCCCGTGAGGGTGCTGAGGCCCTGGCCCAGGGTGCCCAGAGAAGCTGTGGCTGCCCCTGGCTCCCTGGCAGTGTTCAAGGCCAGGTTGGATGGGGCTTTGGGCAACCTGGGCTAGTGGAGGGTGTCCCTGCCCATGGCAGGGGGGGGGACTAGATGATCTTTAAGGTCCCTCCCAACCCAAACCATTCTATGAGTCTATGATTTTCTGATGAAAAATGCACAAAGGGAGCAGGAGACACTTTGCAAGGAGGGAACTGTCACTGCTGAGGCGCTGCCTGCCATCCCCCTCATCCCCATGCACTGAGGGCACCAGGCTGCATACCTGCAAGAACCAGGACTCTGCAAAGTCCTGCTGACGAGATGAAACCTTCCTTGGGGTGAAACCCTCCTCCTCATGGAAGGCCAACACCTTCTTAGTTCAACTTACACCACCACAATGCCTAGGACCTGTCGTGGTCCCTGAGCTACAACGTGGAGGAGCACAGAAGTCCCATCGAGTCCTCAACACGCCACTGCAGCCACCCAGGACACACCATCTCCTCTGAGCTACCAGGCTCTGCTGGCATGCACAGACAAGCCAGAGGATGTCGGGAAGACATCTCATCTCGAGCACATACGTAAATCTGCCATATCCACAAGGATGAGAGGGAGGAAGCTTCCTCATCCCTCCTCCCAAAACCAACCTCGTTTTCTTTGACATGAAGGCAAAACGATTGCTGAAATGCACACACACCTCTAGCATGATGAAATCGCCATTTTTCTAGGACAGCAAGGGGATCTTTCTCAAAAGGAAATGCCTCCATTTTTGCAGACCTTTAAATATATACATATACATACATGCACATATATCATTCATAAAAACCATTCATCAAGCAAGTAAGTTAGAAATTAAGCAATACATACATGAGGCTGGGCCCGAGAAGCTGGTATGTTAATTAATGCTGAGCTGGTCATACCCTCCGCAAGCTACAAATTAAAATGATCGGTTATCAATGGAGTTAGAGAAACAATGTTTAACATACATCAGCAAAAGCACAATTCAGGAGAAATAAAGTGAATGAACCCAAAAGTGCTGCCTTACCCCTCCCCTGGGTTATAAGGTTGAGGTCTCCCTGGCCAAGGCATCCTTGGCACGAGAGCGGGGTTTGGGTTTGCATTGATCTTCATCAAACAGGACTGGGATTAAATGGTTGCAGAGAATAAATGGGGTAGTAAAGGGAAACTGCAGCAAAACCCCCATGTTACAGAAAAGCTGTTAATATTTCTCAGCGCGGGATAGCATCTCCTGCCGACACTGAGGGATTCCAAACGCGGCGAGCCAAGTTGGCCGCAGGAACCAGGGAGGGATCTGACCCAGGGTGCTTGTAGCAGAAAGGGATCAGGAGAGCTCAGGACCCAGGTCCGGTGCAAAGAAAACGCTGAGCACGAGCGCAGCCTGTCCTTGGCAAACCCAGAGCTGCCATCACCTGCCCCTGCCCCAGGCAGCAGGCAGCGGCTCTGCGTCTGTCTTGCAAGGTGTGTTTCCTTCGGGATGGAGAAGGGGGAGAAATGAGATGTTCTCACCAGAAAATAGCTGGGTTTGAGCATCGGGCCAAGCCCGACAGCGCTCCCCCTGCTCGCCAGCTCGGGCTGGCCCCCAAACACGCTGCTTTTGACCCCATGAGACCTGCATCGGAGCTTGGGTCAAGCTGAAAACACCGAATGTACAGCTGCTTCGTGGGGGGGAAGATTCCCCCAGGTTCGGTTCCCGCGAGGACACCCATGGAACTCTCAGAGGCTGGTGGGAGGCAGCTCCTCCGTGTCTCTTTTATCAGAAGAAACAAATATCTGCTCATCCCTTGGGGCCGCAGAGGGACCTCGTGGTTGTCCTTCCTGCTCTGCTTCCCATGGGGACGAGGACCCAGGGAAGAGCACGGAGAACAAGGAGAGGCTGCGGGTGCGACGCAGGCAGGAGTACAGGCAGATCCACACCTGGATCGCCCAAACAATCCCACAGCCGCTTGTGCACACTCAGCCCTTGCAAAACCCCACTCCCTGTGCAACTTCCAGGAGAAGCAAACTAGAAAGGCTTAGCCCAGGAGACCTTGCTACAGAAAAATTGCTTTTCTATGAGTTTTAGGAGTTTCTTTTCTTCGCATTTGGTAACCGTGATGTTTGCAGTTCGTGTGCACACAGACTTGGTTTAAACAGACCTCGGGCTGAACTTTTCACCCCACTTGGACAAGATGGACAACACACTCAGCAACCTCAGCGCAGAGGGGTTTTGCGTCTGTTTGTTTTCTCTATTTCAGATGAGGACAACAAAGTGATCCTTTGTTCCAGTCATCCATCAGAGGAGGGACCAAAGCCAGGCTTGGCAAGGAGGGGGAAGGCTTTGGAGCCACACGACGAAACACACCCATGCACACATGCACGGGCAGGAACAGCCCTGGCTCCTGCTTCCAAGGTCACCACTGGAAGAGCAAGCGGCAGGGAGACTGCAGCCCCGGGCTTGGGCTCCTGGCCTGGGATCCACCGCCTTTCCCAGGGAGAAGGGGTAGGATGGCCCCTGCAGCCTGGGACTCCTCCTTCACCCTCCAAACCTGGCCCCGGAGGGGAGCAGAGTGACCCCAATGTCTGCGGGGTGTCAGACCACCTAAACAAAAGTCACCCCAACTCATGTCCGACACCAGGAGAGGGTGGGCATGGGAGGAGCAGCACCCAGGGCCCAAACTGAGAGTTTAGGTGGGGAGATGGTGGGAACTTTGGTCTGGCTTCCCAGGAACAAGCTCCCTCCTCCTCCACTCCCAAAACAAAGGACAAAAGTGAAAGACAAACAAACAAACAAACAGAGGAGAATTAATCTGGGGTCAAACTGAATAATTCAATTCATTGCAGGGCGTTTCGTTTGCGAAATGCTTGTTTCGGTAAAGAAACGTCAAAGTCTCCCACTTTGAACCGCTGCAGCAGAGTTTTGGCTTCGCCGTGTCCCTCTCCCCTTCCCACCCGTTCACCTCCCATTGAAACCGGTCCCCAAGTTTGATCCGGGTTTGCCGATGCTTTCAGTAGGCTTCAAACTGCCCCAGGGAACAAAGTATTTACTGCAGAGCTGGGGTCCCTCCAGCTGCAAACCTCTGTCTCACTCCTTCCTCCGACAGATGCCCGGGCAGCTGCAGGGACCTCTGCAGCCCCCGAGCAGCAAACAAATAGCGTATTGCTGTATAAAAGTCTGCGTGTCCCCATCCATAGCTCTTGTCCCCAAATTTGAGCAGGTTTCCCAACCTCACGATGAAGTCCCTGCAAGGTCTGGGGGAGCCGCAGCCCCGCAGAGCCCCAGCGAGCTCCGTGTCTCCCCGGAGGGCAGAGCTGAGCCGCTGTTTTTGGGGAAGAAGGCCTTGCCTTCAGGTCTGGGGAGATTGCTAGGGAAATATTTTTCTGACCTTTGCTGGGCATTTAAAAAAAAATAAAAATTGCATAATGCAATACGTGGTGTCATTTATTTTGGTTAAAGGAAAATCAAACATGAGCAAGAGCTCACCTCACTTCACTTTGCAACCTAAGGCTGAGGGACTTCATTTCGGTGAGGCCAGAGGTGCCCCCCTATACTCACAGCCCTGCTCCACCTCACAGGCACCCTCAGAGGCCAGAAGGTCACACACCCCTGTCCTCTGCACCCACTGCCCATAAATGCCTTCCTGGATGTTTTGCTAATTGTTGGACCAAGCCCGAGTCCCTAATGACGAGGTGTGCACGCAGGAACGGGGAGCTGGGCTGGGTTTTCTCACAGCTTCACTTCGGCGCATCCCAGCCAAAAGCTGCCTGGGGAGGAGCAAGTAGCAAGAAGGAAAAGATACCCGGGATCACCTCCAGGCAATGCGCAGGAAGGGCTTGTGAACAGCCAGACCTTGGGGCAAGCCTTGGAGATCTCGCAGAGGATCCGCTGCCACCAACTTCTCCCCCCCAGCACCAACCAGGACCACAGCTTCCTCCCCGCTGGGAGGACTCGGTCTGGGATGCTCCGTGCCCACGGCTCCGGCAGCACAAAGAGAGGGACCCACGCGGCAGGAAGATGCATCTTCCCCCATGTGCAGCCCCAAACCCAGTAACTGCTCTGCTCGCTCTGCAGCATCCCTACTGAGAAGCAAACAGTGGCAGAGAAACGCTGAGGATCCGGCAGCCAACACCCTCTGTTCCCTGACAGGGGACCCATTTTCTGCTTGTCACCTTCCAAAAATGCCTCTTTTGCCTCCAGGTCAGTAGGAAACCTCATTTCCTCCTGCCGGACGAGAGCCTGGCCACCAGGGCCACCGCGGGCCACCTCCAGGTTGCAGAGCTCCAATTCTAGCAGAGTCACGTCACTGCTGCTGGGGACACGCAAGGTCCCTGCGATGGATCCCAACCTGCTGCAGACACGACGGTGATCCTAATTTTCAAAGCAAGTAGTAGATGGAGAGCCAGCTGCACCGAGGATAAAGCATCGAACCGTGTACCCCTCCATGGTGCATGGGTCTCCATCGGGACCACGAGCACCCCAAAGTCTCAGGGAAGAACTTCAGAGCCAGGGAGACAGTGTTTTTCCATGAGTTTGGATAGAAAGCACGCACATTTCTGAAGAAGGAGGAGTGGCAGGGTGTAATTCAAAAGACAGACAGACAGCCCTGGATCTGGCATGCCATCAGAAGGTCCTACAGCTTCTGCAGGAGCGCTCAGATAATAAAGTCAGTGCACTGACTTTTAAAAGTGGTAAAAATCAGAAGATGTGTTTGGACGAGAGCACCCAGAGCCAAGCTTTGGAAAGGATGGGAGTGGGAGGAGGGTCAGGGACCGCTCCTTCCCTCCCTCCCATCACAACCTGCTCGCAGGGAGCCCACCAGCCTGGCCCAGAGTGAGTGCAGGCATCTGAACCGGGTCCCCGCGGCCCCGTGGGGCAGCTCTCCCTGGCCCCCTCCTGCCTGGAGCTGCTAGTGCCGGGGTGGGAGGAGACGGGGGGAGCGGGGCCAGATCCTGTGGCGCCTGTGGTGACGGGGTGCGGATCATGGAGCGACGGTTTCCCTGCGATGCACCGCCACATCTGAGGAGCGGATTAATTCTTGTTTGCAATTTAAACAGCCCCGCCGTGCCAGGGCATGGCGTGCACACAATAACAGAGCCTCCGGCCTCGCTCCAAATTAGCCTAATGAGGAGCAGGTTTCGGGACAGACTCGGAAGACAAGTGGGCTGCCCCTCTCCTCTCACCTTCTGCCACCTTTGACCACTGCAGGGACATGATCGACGCCCAGCATGGTGCTGAGCTGCACGTGCAAGAGGTCCCTGCACCCCACGATCCTGCTCTGCCTCCCAAACTACCCCAAAGTACCCCAAAATACCCTGCCCGGCTGCCATCGCCTCTGGGTCAGCCTCTCCAAGAAGTCCCCAAGGGTGGAGAGGGCTAAGGCACCAGCGCAGCAGCGATGGAGGTTTGCAGCTCTGGTTCCTCAAACGCAGGTGTAAACGGGATGATCCAGCACCAGGAATCAATGGGAAAACTCCCGCGGGGATAGATTTGCACTTCCAGAGCCTGTACCCCAAACACGGTGGCCTGATAAAAGTCAATGCAGACATCTACATCTTGGCTCGTTCGGTGCACGTGTGTCTGCACAGCACCCACGGTCTCTGGCTTGCACACCCCGCACCACCGACAAGCACGTTCACGGTTTAACGCTGGTCAAAAGATGGGAAAGAAAAAAAGCTTTGAAGGATAATTTTTTCATTTTTTTTTTTCCAAACTAGCTGCAATAAAAAAGGTGGAAGCCAGAAGAAATTTGAAATTCTGCCATTTTTGGAGTGCAAATGTAAGAAGAGTGTGAGCCCTGGGCTTCTCTTTCCTGCCTTGCCCTCACCTCCAGGTGCAAGAAAACCTGGGGAAAACAGGGAAACGGTGAATGGGTCTAGAAAATAAAGAGAAGAAAGTACCCGAAGAAAAGAAAAATCTATAAAATTATCTTTTCCTTAAAAAGCCCTGGCAATCTGATCAGAGCATTTCAAGCGGCGGTGGGCATGGCAGAGCATCCCCTGCAGGCAGGGAC